ATTGTGATAATAATTATTATCAAGTCATTATTATTCTAATCGCAAGCGACGGATGCGACTATCGCTCATTACAGTTAAATAGAACTTAGACCTTTAATCAAAGATGAACGGCAGAAAGATGTTCTGTTATTGATTCTAGAAGATTCGTTAAATACTAGGCTTCTAATGTGAAATGGAGTAGATCAATGGATTGTCAAGAATGGACAATAAAATTAAATTGTGCCAGATAATTGGTTCGCAACAAATAGGCTTTTAGACCAAAACTGTACATTTCAGACATTTGGTAGCTAGTGGGAAAAAATGCTGTTTTTAATTAACTCATTAAGTAAAAACGAGGTTGTCACTAATAAAAGAGCCGCTGTAACAGGAACTAATTGATCTCCGATCGTGTCCAACCGTGATAGGTAATTGAAGGTCCAAATGGACCAAAAGAAGCCGCGGAATTTCGAAACGAGGTCCAAAATTAATCTAATTAACGGAAGCATTGGCTATGGGGTATTGCAACAAAATTACCAATAAACAAAAAGATTAGCAATCAATTGACAGGTCCGTTTCACCATCTGGTCGGACATAATTCGGTTAAAACTGGAACGTTCGATTGTAATGAAAGATGTGATGAAAAAATAGCCAAGTTTACATAATATAAACTTATATTTTAAGTAAGTTATGAATGAAGTTGAATAAAATGAACTAACTATGTAACTGTAAACGTCCATTCAGTCGCGGAGAACCTAACGGGTAACCGGGGCTCCGGCTCGATGTGCAATAGAAGGAACGGGGTGTTTTTTAGTCATAGTAAGAGTCTGACACTCCCTCCCGCCTCACCCAGGCGGGAGCAGTTATTCGACGATTTTCTCCCCTTAAAAAAACGTCTATTCAGAAAACAGACGATGAAACATCAAAATGGGCCGTAGATAACTTTAAGATAAAACAGAGCTATCTATTGAATCTTGGTATGGCAATTTGGAGACACTATCTCAAAATGGAGACACGGAAATTAATCTATTTAGGGCAGAAATTGAAACAAAGAAACTAGACTACACGCATCAGATTTGCGACGCAATATAAAGAGAAAATAATAATAAAGAGACCTAAAATAAAAATTTTTCTTAAGAACCTATTTACTCATGTAATTATTGTAGAATGACTGGTGTTTAAAAGGCTAATAGTTGTAAAAAAATATTATTTTATTGTGACATTCTTTGTTTTTAACTTCTATCCTCTTGTTTTTAAGATACGGATATCAAACTTCAGACGATGATAATGATGAGTCTTGGATTTTAAATTATTACCCCAAAAGTTAACATTTTCAAATCTGTTAATAATTTTTGAAATCTTATAATAACTATCATATTTTATATTCTTATAATAACTATAATGAGCCATATTGAAGTAACCAAAATTATCGGTTTACTACTATTTTCGAGCCACAGAGGGACTCGTCCTCATGTTTTCGGTTTCGGCGTTTCTCAGAGTATTTACGGATGTACACCATTTTTTAAGCTAATTGTGTACATATGAGTCATTATAGAAACACGTACTTTCTTCCTTTCTTTTTCTTCTTTACTAAGAAAAACACTGATGATATGAAGTTACATATTCTATCGCCAGGTGATAGTCCATTGTCAACCTTTATGTCAACGACCGTGGAATGCGTTACCTGTCCAACGCATCTTTATTGCAGTATCATTCTTTGAATTATGGCACGTGGAATTCAAATGCAATATGTATAATTAGTATCTACGTATTGAAGTATGGTGCAGTTATGTATACTGCGCGATGCGTGATGGCTCCTTCAGAAATCAAACTGGATTTGGGTAGCCATCTTCGAGCTCATGCTAGATAATAGACAACTTATCATCGTTGGCGGATACGTTCAAAAGGTTTGAAGGGGTGGCAGTACACGTTGTAGATGTTGTGAACCTAACCAAGACTTTTTTTATCTAAATAATTGTCTTCTACGGTTCTTATGGACCATTTTTTTTAATGGGACAAGCCACAACCTCTCAAATCCGCTGCAACTCCTGTATGCCATAATCTACAATAGATACAACCATAAAACCACCGGAACACTGAAGTCCCAGTCCCAGGGACATGAGTAACTGTCTTGGTTCCCGCAACGAAGTGAATCAGAAGATATTATAAGAGGAGAAGAGAAAAAAACGGTAGTTGCCACTGCCCTCGGTAATTACTGCAGGAGACAGAATTAAACGGACACAAAAAAAGACTGGCCTAGTCGCCAAGCACCACGGAAACTGAACTAAAAACTAAGTGGGTCCTATGTGTGAGCTGTTTTACTTGCTTCCAATAATAGTTATTCTTATGGACCAGTGGATCAACTATCAGGGTGCTGCAAATGCTCTTTGGTGAATGTGAGATGATTTTAAATAACTACTATATTCCCTATATCTTTTCCTCTAGGTAAAACATTTACCTAGATGAAAAGAATTGGCCTACGATTAGTATGGTCACAATTCAATTTCCCATCGTGAACAATTGGTATGGGTATGCCAATTTGCCATATACTAAAACAAAGGACCATTTTATTTGATGTGAACTATGGGGGAATCATTATTAAAGTTCACATAATAATACAAAGCATTTATAAAACGACTCATTTCATTGTTCCCATTATTTAAAATGAACTAATTACGAGTACAGCATTTTTCTAAAATCTTCCTCAAAAGTCACGTATTTGTTGATTGCATTATTAGTTGTAATAGATCAGTACAGTTAGTCATATTTTGTGATTGCTTTGTTATTTTGATGGACACAAGTTCGACTGTCAAGCAAAGGTTTCTATTTGCGAGTATGTAGGTACAGATAGATTTATATCCGCCGCTCCGTGGAAAAAATTTTGTTTGTCTACGCAAAATGCAAGCATTTTTCTTACAATTGTCAGTTGACGAAAGCGTGCACAGTGTGAGGGGTAGCTTACTCGGATAACATAACAACTTTGAATCTGGTTTGTTTGAAACTTGTTTTTCAACTTTGAAATTGGGCCTGGCCATATGCTCACTCCCATAAGACTAAACACAAATGGGTAAAAAGTGGGTGTTACTAAATTCCTCCTCTGTTTACTGGTCAAGAAGTAATATAGAATATATGTAAGTAGGTATGTATGATGTATGGTTCCCCTAACAACTACTTTATCACAATTAATATGTAATAATACGTTGTTTTGACGTTCCGGGTTATCAATTGACCTGAACGTATAGATTCATGATAGTTACGAATTTATTTAATTAACTTTGCTCGTGTGTTACGATGTTTTCGCAATGTTGGTATCGTTGGATAATATTGTTTATTACATATTGTTTTTAATATTTTTTCATGGGTGATAAAGTTTTAAGATAAACTCTTTTGTTTAGTATTTGTAAATATGATAGAAGTTTAAATTATGGGTCTGATGTTCAGGATAAGACATGAAATCGAATTGCACGTTTATCATCAACATTATCAAGGAGTTCTTGACAAAACACCGCTGGACTAAGGACCTTCTTTAAATAAGAGGATGCCCAAACCGCATGACAAGCGTGGAGATTAAAGCTCCCCATAGAAGGAAGTTTTTGTTTAGCAGTGGACGTTTCAGTTGATGGTAGTTCCTAGTACACTTATCTAGTACTTAGTCAGATCTGGACTTTAATCTAAGCCGCAATAAGGACGTGAACAACGGTGCATTGTTAATATTTTTTGTTAGCAAAACTAACTGCTTCCTTTTAGCAGTAGTTACTGTTTAAAAGGAAGTTAATACTGATTACAATGAAACCGGTTTATAGATCAGTTTTAAACAAATTATTTTGTACTTATAAAAACAGTTATTTAAGGCTGCCTCGCTGGCTGAGTGGTCGCAAGTGCGACTGCTGGGCAGGGAGTCTCGGGTTTGATTCCCGTGTAGGGGAAAGTATTACTGGGTTTTAAAAAAATTCTCAGTTGTAGCACGGAGTCTGGAATTGTGCCCGGTATATGGGCTCACCCCCTATTATATGGGACTTATAACATAAATAGTGAAAAGTGGGTGCTACATTGTACAGTGGTATAATGTGCACCTCTGAACCCTCGCGGGGATAAAAGGCTTGATGTTATGTTATTTAAGGTTCTCTGGCAATTCGGAATTTAAGGGTTAATTTTCCCTTTTTGGGAACATTGTTAGACGCTTTTATGTATTTTGACTCCGACTTAATATATTTCTCAAGATCAGTGACATAAAACGGACACAAAAGTAGAAGTATGCAATTTGATACCTTATAAAATCAGAATGTAACCGCGAATTAAGTTACCTTAGGTTTTATGACTCTTCTATCGGTCACTCATCATAGCTACGTTTCAAAGATACCTACATTGTAAATAATATTTAATGACAAACTGGATCAGTGGTTTAACTGCTTAAAGAAATTGGGTCATTCATTTACGTCAATGAATTCACAACAATATACTGAATGATTTTTGTAATGATACAAAAAGTGGACTACTTACGATAAAAAAGTAAACGAGTAATCGCTTCCTTATTTACCATTGACCATCTGAATTGCGCTAATTTATTTATTGAAGGATTTTTAACAAGAAATCTAGGCAGAACCTATAACAGCTGTACCTATCTACATATCTAGATGGTTGAATGAATAAAGTATAGATAAAGGTGAACATTCCATTGAGAAATAACATGGAATAGGTATTGTACTCAACTTGTCGACACACAGAGTTATTACGATGTCGACCAGTTCATACATAATAGGAAAAAAATACACAGGGAATGCATGGAAATTGTATGAGAAAGGAACCTGTAGTCCGTAGAAATCTAACAATAAAATTACACACATATAATGTACTAGATAACAAACGTCAGAAGAATGTGTTGTATGGTTTATAGAACCCTACTAAGATGGTTAGCCCCAGCCCAGCCAATGGGTTGCTTACCAATCTTCTGCACGAAACAAATCATACCTTATTCTATTAGGTATATTTACTTAAAGATATTAAATAGTGAAAGAAGTACTTACTTCCTTATCCTCAATGAGCGTCGCGACTCGGCCAGGCTGCAAAAAAAGAAATTAGAAAATGTTAAGTCATTGTTTATGAAATTATTCTCGTGATAACACGATAATTTTATAGTCTATCATCAAAATAACATGTTTTTAACATTTTATTGTCTGTTTTGTTTTCAAATTTTAAAAACAATGTCTTGCTGATTTGTTTTGTTTTTGTTTTTGACCCCTACGTTACTGCATAGTTTTATGTTAATCGCACAGATAACAATATAGAGGTTGTGGTGGGCAATCTAAGATAACTATATCGTCGTGTTTAATAATATTTATTTACATCTTTCAACATGTGTCAAGTTGTTCAAATTCGCATTTAGTTGTTGACGATAATTCGCAAACATTAATAACAAAAACCCATACATATTACACTAAATAACACAATAAACAAATGTAATGCTATGCTTTTGGGATAGATATTTTACTATGTAAAATTTCCAAGCACCATGACAAAATATTCATAGGAATTCTACCAGTAAAAATTTCAGTAAAAGTATAGAAATTATCAATAAATAACAAACATTAGAACAAAATACTGAACAACACATACCAACGCGCTATCGTGGGTGTGTATTTGTGTATTTTGACGCGATTTTTTTTAAAAATAGGTGAGAGCGTGATATGCGCGTGATCGGGTATTACGCAGTTAATCTAACGTAAATAAACTAGCATGGTTCGTTGACGTGCAAAATTTTTGTATAGTTATAGAACGCAAACGAGCAGACGTACGTATCACCTATATTTTATATGCAAATATTTACTTAGACATGTTCTACTACTTTTCATTGTTATTTGCGAATCTTTTTATGCCTGGCCTTGATTTTATTTAGATGAAATTATTATTTTCTCGTATTATTATAAATGACAAGTTTGAAAACATCTCTCGTCAGTGTTTATTTGAAACAGATGTTTTTAGGTGGAATTATGTGTGTTATTGAATGCCATTTTCGCAGTGTACCTACATACATAATATTCACTGTTCCTTGCGCGTCGAGTACCGGTTTTATAGACACAATTAAAGAACAATAGGTCGCGGTCACCGGTGACCGCTTGGTGTTTGACAGATTAAATAGAGGTAAATATGTAGGTTAATATAAAGTTTTTGTTTGAACATTAGATAAATCTTTTCTCATAGTTAGCATAACTTTCAATATATGCTTAGAAAAGTATGTTGTCTATTAGGCACAAACAGGATATTCAGGTATTTTTGTTCAACACAGGAACAAAACTAAGTATCCCCGTGATCAATTACAATTAGCAATAGTTGCAGCTATTAATAAGGTTTAATGGGGTTACCCGATTAGTTTCAAGTCACGTCGGGGGCCCATACATTAAAGTACTAGGTTTCAGTTTCGATGTAAAATATGACAAAGTGAAAAATGAAGTTTATTTTCTGAATCATTTGGAGGTACAGATAAAATGAGGTGAAGCAGTAAATCGTCACGAAACTGGAATACAGTCAGTAGGTATCATCATACGATATGAGTTTAAAAGGTCATCGTTAATTACTACAGTCCAAGATAACATAATGATAACGAATTTGTACAAACAAAACGTTTTAGCATTAACATTCATTGTTGTAACTTTCAGTAGAATTATCAAATTAGGTAGATACTGTTATGAGTAGATACAATCAGATCGAAACTTCTGGATTAAATATAGAACTAGGTAACTAATCTAGGTAGCATCGGAATGACGTGGAGCCAGGTGAAGTGGGAAGCTCAAGACCGATCGAGATGTAGGACCTATGTGGACGCCCTCTGACCCATCTACGGGGGCATAGGACCTTAAATCAAGTAAGTCAAGAGTCTGTCACTCCCTCTTGTGCCTAAACCAAGTCGGGAGAAGTCATTTGATGATTTCCCCCCTCAAAAAACCATCTGAATGACATGGAGCGAGATGAAGCGGAAAGGTCAACCCCGATCGCGAGTAGGATCTGCCCTCTTATAATAGACTATATTTGTTGATTTAACGCGTTAATCAAACCAACTATGAAAACCTGCGAAAAATAGGTTACAACTACAAGAAAATCCTCAGAATTTGAGTAGCTAGTGATTGTAAAAATAAACAATGTTATCGTCTTAACAGATAGGACCTAACTAAATCCCTTTAGTCAGGCTACTTACAAAGATATTTTTAGGTCCGTCATATTTATGGAAGTAATCCTATGTTTATTATTATGGCTCGATAGCTATGTTATGTTGTTTTAACGTTAATTTATATACTACCTATAGTGTTGTTTGCCTTATCTTTGTTAGTAGACTGTCTGTCTACTAATCATTGTAGACTTTGTATTTTCACTATCTACTTAGTTATAACTAGGATATCTTTGAGCTGCATTGGATACGTTAAAGGGGTAGTTACGTTGTGAGTAAGTAGTTATTTATTATGCTAATATTATAAGTTCAAACGATCCACATAGCGGTTTAAATAGTTAACAATAACAAAGTTATTGTTTGACAGAGCCTTTAAAACATTAAAGGCACAAATTCACAAATTAAGATGGGACCATTTGGAACACCAGTTCGTCCTTAGGCACATCTTAATTTATACCCAGATATGCTAAAATCTATATGGAATGTTGGTAAAATAACCACAAAACTAACTAAGACTTGACGAAAGCACTTTATAGCTTTCTGTCTAAAAGCTGTTAGTGTTTCCATTCGATATCGATAAAATTTGCTTACAGAGCACTTTCATATCTGAAACTTTCGGTGTGCTTGATACCTATACCTTTGGGTCGTCCTTCACGGTGCAACTGTTCAGGGGTCATTTTATTTCGAGGCTTACAAGTTACAAGCCATTGACTTTTAAAGCCTTAGTGGTAGGTACTTAGTTCAAAGTCACCATGTTTGTTTGTATAGTTTAAAATTTTAATGCCACATGTGATATTTTTATTAAGTAGTTATCTTTTTAACAGAATATTGTCACCTACCTAGTTAGTTATTGAAAAATAATATTTTAGTGTGATGTAAATATAAATGTATTATTTACATTACAATCTATTAATCAAGATGAAGATATCTACCTAGTTATAAAACAAAAATATTGGGACCCGTTGGATGCAGGTCGTTACCAACTGGCCTATATGGAAGTCATTGAGTGAGGCCTATGTTCAGCAGTTGACGTCCACGGCTGATATGATGATGATTGTTTGTGCGAAAAATTTAACGCGTTTCAGAGATTTTGGTGATAGATAGTTAAGCAATTATAAAAACAGAAATATTATTGAAAACTTAATGCGTTTCAGAATTTTGTTGTGATGATTTCTTAACTTTACGAGTAGTGGCCTAGTTAAATAAAAAATGATGTAAACAATAACAGTTTATTAATCATCGGTGATGAAATGAGACTGGATATCGTCTCTTCTTATTTTTAAAGATTAAAAAGAGAACACTTATTTTATGTTTTGTTTTTCAAATCAGCTGAATATTTTAGTAAACTAACTAAAAAGAACCACGAATGAATACAACATTTTAAAGGAAGTCAGTAAAAGAAATCACGTCACTGATTCCTTCGTCAGTTTACTTACTGACAACTCAAACAATTGAACAATCAACATAAAACAAAATTTGCTTTAATGTTCCTCGTTCTTGTGAACGGAAGATTCGAGGGAACAATGCACCCCACATTCCTTGCTAAAGTAAACTCGACCTTGAGTGACGTGTTGAGGATGCAACGGAAACAAATGAACTACTCTAACGTCATTTAAGCAGAATTTGCTGTGACGTCAGATTTTGCTAAAAGAGGATAACTGAAGTCAGCTGTTATGTTGTCAGTAGCAGTTACAATAGGTATTTGTGACGTAACAGGAAAGTACATATATCGGTGATACTACGGATTATGCGTAATTATGTGCAAAATAAACCATTTCATTGTTAATGAATAAATTATCAGCATGAATGCGGAGTAGATTCTGTAGATCTTTAAAGAGGCTCGTTAATGTCTTGGGAACTACTTTGCTAATACTTATATGCGATAGAATAGACAGACTATCTATTGCCGGAATACTGAAACGTTACTCAATTTTAAGTCGTGCTTAAATATCATGCCATCTCTGTCATTTTACAAAGAATTTGTGGAGACAGAACTATAGGTACTTAAGCGTGACTTAAAATTGAGTAGCGTTCGAGTATTCCGACATATGACTATCTACCTACGAGACAGATTATTTTTTAATTACAGTTCGAACTTCAAATAACTAGTTTCGCGCGGAACTAGCTAGTCATACATAAGACCATTAGAATCTTTTTTTTTAATTTATTTAAAGAGCTTCTAGCCAGTTATTTATATATCTTTGGTCAAGTTTAAATAAAGAAATGTCTTTGTTTTCAACTAAAGCCTGGTCAACTGTGGTTCTCCTTCAATTTAAAGAGGGAAAATCAGTCTTATATTTGTCAAAAACAATCATGACCTCGTCTATATTTGAGTTTTAAAACAATGTCGGGTGATGCGTCAACGCAATTCGTGTGAAAGTGCATTAACCTTGAATCTTAGCCAGTTCGACGTGTACCATTAAAAACTTGAAGGTAACCTTTAGGGAATTTCACTGCAATTGGGGGTTACATTTACACCCAGAGCTTAATAATTAAGTAACTATAATAGTTACTTAATTATTAATTATTAAGCTTAATAATTAAGTAACTATAATAGTTACTTAAATATTAAGCTCTGGGTGTGTCTTTTACTCTTTTAACTTTTATTGCACTTAGCGGAAATAGTAGAAATAGTTATCACGTGAATAATGAGCGCTTAGTTATACAATTCCTCAATTCATAACATAACATAACATCACGCCGTTTATCCCCGAAGGGGTAGGCAGAGGTGCACACAGAAGTAACACCCACTTTTCACTGTTTTATGTTATGAGTCCCATGTAATAGGGGGTGAGCCTATTGCCATATACCGGGCACAATTCCAGACTCCGTGCTACTACTGAGATTTGTTTAAAAATCCAGTAATACTTTGCCCGACCCGGGAATCGAACTGGAGACTATTGCACTTGCGATCACTCGGCCAACGAGGCAGTCCAATTCCTCAATTCCTAACTAGTTTTTTGGTATCATAAAACAACTAATCCTAGTGTGGGGCAACGTTTTTAAAAAAATAAATAAAAAACAAACTACAGACTTTGCAATTAGGTTCTAATTGCATGTTTGGGAGTTACTTATCATATTTTTAAGTCTATAATGCTGCTAAATCTAGCACTTGGGAGGAATTTAACAGCATAATGACATTCTCCCACCTCGCTTAAAGATGATGTAATGCAAGCAGACATAATAGCAGACCAGTAAACACACCCATCATTCGTGTCCGTGGATCCAGCTTAAATGTGAAATATGAAAGGCGAAAAACGGAACTAGCATGTCGACTTGACATAGTTACTTGCAGCAATTTTTACTTTCGGCAAACGAGTATCGCGAGTGAATTTCGATTACCGACTTGTTACATTTGAGGGCATTTTCTAATCTTTATTTAGATAATTTGCATGCCCTTTGCGTAGCTCGCGAAAACTGGCAGAAAGTAGGTACATTCCGTTGATAATGTCTTCATTATCGAATCACAAGATATCGTGGTCGCGAGTCAATTGTCGGGTTACTGCGAATGAGTTGACAGACTAGGTACTTTTATGTCTATTAGGATTTAGCTAGATAGTTTAAAACTTCCGTGAGACATACTAAATTAATTATTATGTTTTTCGGCTTACTCACAGTGGCAGCGCGACAGTCGCTGCATCCCGGGTCGCGGAATGCTACTCATGAATATGAGCCTCTAGCATGGCTTGAAACTAGTCGAGATCCTCGTCAAATAATTACGTGAGTGAGCCGAAAAACATAATGACTTAGTAAGTTAGGTATCTATGAATAATAATGCTTTTGGGTTGATTTTCGCAAAGTATAGTACACAATACAGGAGAAATTTCTCGTGTGGAATACCTATAACATGATTAACTAGCACCTATAAAGGGAAAAACTGCCTCGTTGGCCAAGTGGTCGCATGTGCGACCGCCAGGCAAGGTGTCTCGGGTTCGATTCCCGGGTCGGGCAAAGTATTACTGGGTTTTTAAAAAAATCTCAGTAGTAGAACGGAGTCTGGAATTGTGCCCGGTGTATGGCAATAGGTTCACGTCCTATTACCTGGGACTCATAACATAAATAGTGAAAAGTGGGTGTTACATTGTGCAGTGGCATAATGTGTACCTCTGCCTTCTGGACTCTTCTGACTCCTTTGGGAATAAAAAGGTGTGATGTTATGTTATGTTATAAAGGGAAAAATTAAATTAACTACAAAATTACTGACATACCAATACTAGGTACTATAGTTGAACCATTCTATTCAACACTTCAAAGGTATTTTATCTTTAACAAGTGCAATTCTAATACATCACAATAATAGTTCTAAATGCACTTTCGATGTGATTATGATTACCTAGCCATAAATAATCTAGGCATAAACTAGGTATTTTATGTCTAGACCGGACTATAGATAATCCTATTTAACATTATAATTTAAGTAGGTACAATATTTACACTAGATAGACACACTAGGTAAATATATCTACTTATCTAGGTAGGTAATTATACTTATCGGACTATAAACTGTTACCTGCAGCTTCGTCTATGTGGTTAACGGAAAAATATTTCAAATTCAATTCAAATTACTTGTCTGTACATTTTTATGTATAGATATTATATTAGTGTATGTCTCCAGCTTCCTAATTGTCCACAGAAAAAAAAATTTAGAGTTCTGATCCGCTGGTTTTCCGCAGTTTAGCTGGATATGATATGTAATTGAGGATGGAGTCCATATCACTGTGGCCAATATGATATTGGCCAGGATTAATTTATAGGATATAACAAGATTTTTTTTCCCAATACTACTTAAATAGATGTAGGTAATTTAGTATTAATATTTTTATTATAGGTACCTACTTTAATTACTCAAACTTGGATTTTAAATGTTATTATAGAACTGTAAGCTAGTGGAATAAAACTGGACATACACTCGGGTCAGATTAGGTACAAATTGGAAAAAAATCTGTAAATTTTTTTCAATCACCTTGAATAATTTGTAATGTAGAAATAATTACGCACATACTTACTTGTCGAGGAAAAAATCATAAACACAAACATTATAGTTCAATGAACTTTGTCTAAAGTCAAAACAAAACAAATCTAATTGCTATGCATGTAATTACTCTATTATTTCTTTAAAATATAAGAAATGCTAGAAATAGTTGATTTGTTAGCTTTTTTTAATCTTCGAATTCAATTTTTAAAATACGAATTCATATCAAAAATGGATAATCTCGGTCTTTTGTCGAGATGACGCAAGGAGGTAGGAGGTCACGATCATAAACTTTTTTGTAAAATTACCTTCGATTCGGTCCCTCGGTGAGTTGTGTTGCCTTGCCAAAATCTTCTTGAGAATCCTTTAACGTAACCAGTGATTGATTGCTGGTATTGAAACCCTGGGTTCCAGCAAAGGGAACCATAACCAAACACCCAGAATGGTTCCTTCCTCGCTTCCATTCCATTACTCCTATCTTCTGACATATCCATTGTGATTTTCAATACAATTTTATGTTATAAATCTAATTTTAATTCAAAATTTTCTCGTACAACACTTCGCGATTTCAAATAAAGAATGGAAAATTAGAAAGCGCAAGACCGAGTCGCGTACTCGTATCACAGACTATTAAAACTCCACTTTTATTATTCTACTTGTGTCTCATTGTTGTTATTTAGTTTAGTCACAAACTAAAATATAATAAGCACTAAATATGTTGTTTAAAATTTATACGACCACCCATTGCGCTCTCATATTGCGGACTGTCAGTTGTCATTTTTCGTTTTGTACTTTACAGCAAAATAGGGCGCGCAATTACGTTTCATTCGACGCCGACTTCACATTGCGTCAAATGTTCGTCGTTCGACACATTTTGTTTAAAGTACTCGTATGTTTTAATTTTAATGAAGTTTATTGAAACAAATATTACTTGAAACATTTTTCTTAGCTAGATTTATCTAAGAACTGAACAAAAATTGTGTCAAGTTAAAGCAAAATCTGCTATTTTGTCTGCGTGAATGGAATGTCGGCGCAGATATTTTTATTATTGTTGTGGTAACTGGATTTTCCCCCGCCCAATCACCTTTCTCCGTGACGAGAGCTTGACATTGATTGGTGGTTACTGTCTGATGCAATTTTTTGAATGCCTTACAACAATATTGCGGATTGCGGTAATATTCTATGAATAATTAGTTAGGTACCATAATCGTATAACTAACATAGGAATACTATGCGGGATTTTTAACACTACATTATTATTTACATGAATGACCATTGTGAAAAAATAATTAATAGGTAGTAAATTTATGTTTTTTTTCAATGTTTTTATCTAAATACTCAACACGTTTTAGCCCTTATTTTAGATCATTCTTGTCTGACGACATTTAGACAGACGACCTGACAAAAATCGAGTAAACCACTGGATGCAGATCACAAAAAAGGTTAAACTGGAAGCTGGTGGGAATCTGGGAGTGATTAAAAAAGGACTATGTTCAGTAGTGGTTATCTTGTTATTTTGAGTTTGATATTACAATATTTGTTATTACTGCAGTTGCTGCATAACGTGTCGTCGGTCTTCCCGACAAATTGTTGTCCCGGGTTTAGGTGTGATGTCTTTTATTTTAAGTAAACGCATTCTACAATGCTATCTACGCTGTTTTTTGAGAAAAGATATTATTATGATTGCGCAAAACAAAAAATATATAGAAATTGGTAGGTACCTATTAGTAGTTTTTTATGCTAGACATATATTTCGATTACAATAATGTAAAGTCCCGTAAAATTAAACACACATGTGATAGCCATATTGGTATTGTGGTATTTCAAACTAAACAATTAACTATTGCTTAAACAATAGAAAAGTAATCTAAGGAAAACCAATAATAAAAATTACCATATAAGTAGGAACTATGTATTTCTATGACGAAGTAGCCTCACCACGACACAAGCGAAAATCCTAGTGTGGGGAAACGTTTTTTTTTTTTAATAAACAGTTATAAATCAGGCTGGATGGGTTAGTGGCCAAAGACTGACTTGTCATGTTCATAAAAATGCTTAAATATTTGGTTGGCTATTAAACCGTGGGACTAATCAATAGGCTTTTATTTATGCGGTTGCAAGTGTTTCTACCAAAAAAGAAATCGAAGGTTTTTCGGTTTTTGAAATCCAGACTTATGACAACAGTCTTAATGGGACTTCATTAAGACTGTTGTCGTAAGTTGTTATAAATTGGACTCGACTTACTGGTGAAAAGTGATGTCTATGGGCATCTATGCCTATCTGGGAAAGAAAAGCTTGATGTTCTGTTAAAATATGTTTATTATCAATATTCTATTATGCGTAACCTATTTCTACCTACAAATTAACTTTTATTGTACTTCATCTGTACCTATCAAATAATTGGATTCCACTATCTAGCATTGACACATCTAAGTGGTATTTATAAATATTTTGATAAATAAAACAATTTAGGTATGTTTGTTTTTATTAAAACCGCAAATATTCATCTATTGATTTAAATACACCACAGATAAAACAATAGCAAGATTAGCGCGCGAATTGCCTACCAACAAAAGAAAATTAAATAAAACTTCAAAAAGGTTCAATACAATGGTCCATATATTTTCATAAAGAATAAAATCACAATGCATTAGTTTATATTTTACATATTATAACAGACACGGAGTATTAAACGGTTACATATTTCATTATAATTGGCGAAACGTATTTATTTATTTTTTATCCACAATAATAATAATACGGATCGAACGTGCTATTACTCTAGACAGACAAAATACTGTGAACAATTCAACATCAATATTGGTAAAATTGAGAAACTAGATAAGTAACTTACTTATTTAATTTTATTTTTTATTGATAGGTAGTGTATTATATCAAATAAATGCTAGAAAAACCTGTCAACTAACTTTTTTTTAAACTTGTTAATTACTTTGCGGATAGATAAAAAATAATGTGCTACAAAAACATTTTTTTTCTTAACTTTTTTTAAAACATTTATTTGACATAATTCCATTTTCATAATATCATTATTTGGTTTAACTTTGTAATAAGATACATTATGGAATGACTGATTCTAATTACACTTCCATTCTATTTTTTTATTTAGAAATCGAATTTATGGGTCTTAAGTATGGATAACTTAATTGTCCATTTTTCTCTGTAACTGGAATTCCAGAATGGAAAAATTCTAACATGGAATGAATGTGCATTTTATCAGAAACTAATTGTATGATAAATACTTATTTATTTTATCTTTTTGGAATCGATATACTATGTGAGATTAACACGTGACTGGCCTTTATTTACAGTGTTTTTGATGATGTGATGCTTAGAGTGGAATTAAACCTAGTACATAGAATTCGCTCACCAAGAATAGAACTTCACAATCTTAGTTTTGAGCGAAACATTCTTTGAATGTGGAGAAAATTCTAGAAACAGAATGTCGAATTTAATTTGATTTATATAATCTTAGGTAATGAGCACTTAGTAATATGCCTGTACAATGCAATTACGTGAGAGTTTTACATTCTGACGAAATTGAAACCTGTAGACTCTCTCGTATGCATGAATTACGACTTATTTGAAGTAAATTCCGACATAAACCAAGTATTTTTCTTACCCTAAAACACTCTTAAAAGAAAATAACAATCTGTTTCTAGAATTGACATCACACTCTAAAATAATCAATACGATTAACTGCACCAACAATTTGTCAAATCATAGGTAACTAACAACACTATAATATTGAGATTACATATTAATTCATAATTAAAATATCATTAAATCTATTTTAAAAGCGATTTAATATCCTCATTTTGCGATATTTGGCTTCAAATTCATTTTCCATAATGGAAAATATTTTTACAAGGCAATGTTAGAATGTGTTTCATATATTGCTCTGTGGTTAAAGTTTGGATTGACAATATAAAGGGTAAACCCTATTCTACACCTTAATGTTAGTCATCTTACTTATACAAATACTGAATGACGTATAATATATAGGAAGATATTGGGTATTAACCCTTACACATTGTAGTACCACGTAATATTTTATGCAATCTCTAAAAATATTTTAATTCTAATGCTAAGTGAACTGCATTATATGAAACACACCTTGACATAGCAATTACGCTAAATATATTTAAAATTGTGATGGTCGTTTATCTATCAAAGCTAACAATGCAACTATTTACAATCAGACTTTTTACAATACACATACAACAATATTATTCAATATAACATTCATTTTGATACATCTCAACGTTCAAAAATTACATACATATAATTTTTCCATTATTGAATATATATTCATAATTATGTATACACATATGAATAATTAATGTCCCTAAATATTATTTAATACTATGTTCCTGAACACAGGACAGGTACGGTTAAAATGTGTTTTATATATTTGATTATTATTTTTATTTATTTATTTAATATGACTAGTGATATGTAACGATAACTTTACATAGGGTATGGTAAAACAGAATAATTTTATTTTTCAAACATCATTCAACGAGATTTCTTGACAACTACAATTATTCAATAACTATAATTTAATTATATTGAGTTTGATGACATTTAATATTTAATCTTATATTTACAATGCACCACAGGGTAAATCTATTTTAAAATCTAAGTTGTCAAACAAATCAGGCTTTTTGGTAGTTCCTTTTTCGGGACAAGGATTTAAAATAATGTGTAACATAGAGGTAGGTAGAGAATATCAAACAAAAATCCTAATAAACACTAATTTATTATGCGATAAATTTAATTATACCAGAAATTATTATGATGCCATTCAAATATTTACAATTTACTTTGCGATAATAATTTCAACGTTCATTAGACCTATAAGACCATATCAGATCCAAATTTTTATTGCCTATGTTATAATTTTGGTCACTTATTTAACATTCACAAGAAAAAATATATATTATACCACCAGTATACCTACGTATAATATAATTTATTTTAACATCTGTCAAAACTATGCGCTATGAATATAACTATTATTTTTTTATAATGAGAGATGTGAATATCTTTATATATTAATAGATACGTGTATAGAAAGAAGATTATCGTTCCATTCTGAAGTTGGAATCTTGAAAGATTCTAATAAATATAAGGAAATCTCCCGTATTCATTTATTATACTTGAAAATTCATCTCTCATAGTTCAATAACAGATAATAATATAATATCTACATAAATATATTAATATCCCATTTAATTATCGATTGAAATATTTTAAAGAGTTGACGATACACTAGTATTCAACCCAATTTTGGCAAAAAGCCATTATATTCCATTATATAATTCCAATTTTATTTACAATGACGTCTTAAACGTCAACTTAAGTCGGTTCCAATATGGCATCGACTTAAGTGGAATGCTTGGATCATACGTTCGACTCGGGGCCTTCCGTATTATGTTTGAACGAAGCTCGGATCCTGGCCAGATATAGGGCGCAGATGTGACCATAGCATTTGTTGTACCATTCTGGCGTTCGGCCCCTGGAAAAAATAAATATGTTCTCATTAATTTCACAGCACTTTCCTTCCGTCATCTTCTGGATTATCGGCCTCCGATACATAGAAAGAGTTTAAATTTTGCATTATTTCACTAACTTTGTAGATTTAACCACTTTTGTGCTAACGCATCTGCTAAACGTCGCAGCACGTGCTAAACTATCGGTTGAGGTTAACACCTCAACCGATGGTTTCATGAACTTTAAGCGTGGGAGAACCGTGCTTCGGCACGAATGGGCCCGTTGTGTTCCGTCGTGTGAGTGAAGTTACCGGAGGCCCAATGAAGCCATTATTTTTAGGCCAGAGTGATTATATTTAAGCCACGACCTTAACAGGTTTATTTTTTAATTTAATATAGGTATGTAATATAACAATATTCTTACATGGTATCAACTCTGGCTAGATGTACCAGTCTGCTTCGTCCCTTGCCAGCGGGTTGCGCGAGGTAACGCGAGGCTAGCACAACTCCTCGAGACGCGGAGGGAGCACCTCCCGGTCCACGTGAAGTGCTTGGTGGGGCCGACGCATGTGCTACAGACGTCTCGGCTACTGCGCACCAACCGCCACCTCCACCACCCTGCTGCCATGATCTGTAAAGAAGACACTAATTAAAATCTACCAATAAATAAAACCGAAACATAACGAAGTGGCTTTATTTGCTATTAAAATCTCGTAATAATGAAGGAGAGGAAATACATAGACCATCCCGAAATATTGTCATTTATTTTATACGACTGCCTCGTTAGCCGAGTGGTCACAAGTGCGACTGGGCGGCAAGGGGTCTCGGGTTCGATTCCCAGGTCGGGCAAAGTATTATTGAGTTTTTAAAAAATTCTCAGTAGTTAGCACGGAGTCTGGAATTGTGCCCGGTATATGGCAATAGGCTCACCCCTTATTACATGGGACTCATAACATAAATAGCGAAAAGTGGGTGTTACATTGTAAAATAAATGCCGTAGATAATATGCACCTCTGTCTACCCTTTCGGGGATAAAAGACGTAATGTTATGTGTGTGTGTATTTTATACGATGAAGTGTTGTTTTTGCTTGAAAGAATTTCGTAATATAAACAGGTATAGTTTATTAAGTACTTACCGTAACACACAATAATCTCGTGACGGTAGATTTATGCTTGAGGCCGTGACATATTGGAACACCTCAGCGTTGGTACCGAGCTTCTCAGCAACGCGCCATTTAACCAATGAATCGTCCCAAATGTGCCGCTCTCGGAGTATCCTGGAACGTTCATAATTATTTTATTTATTTATTTATGTACACACATTCAACACAGAGGACAATACATAATATAAAAACAGAGTACATAGGCCCCACATATTCCAACTGGAATTTCTTCCTGTGGCAGGAAAAGAAATAACAACACTGAGACACATAGTGTGTTACACAAACAAGATTACTAACAAGACACAAATTATATTAATGTAACAAGTACAATAAAGGTAAATTAAACAAAATTACATGTTTTCTTGTCAAACTATAGATATGTAACTCTCAGAATGGATTTTTATAGAAAAATCGAAATCGTACCTTTGCATAACCTCCTGTGGCGGCGCTTCTACGTCAGTAGTTGCTCTCCATAATCTTAACGGATGTCCATCACCAACTTTCTTACAACACAGTTCCACGTGAGGAGCGGCCCCTGATACCGACATCCACCCACGAGTTCTGCAATCATAGAGTCTGGGTAAGATTCCATTTTGAGAATGGATATGAAACAATAAGCCTGAAAATTCTAATTAAACACTGGAACATGCGAATCATCCACAAAAAATAGAAAACTTGGCAAATTATTCTTGTTATTAGTAAAATCCATTTGACAGACATACCTATTTGTCGTTGTCAAAACTAGTAATTCAATTCATTTTGCGTTTTTAAAACAAAGATATATTAGTATATATCAGCCATTTTTTTGTTTAGTAACTTCAGCCATGATGATTATAATTCATCACGTATTTTTTATAACCAGTCCTTAGTAATTTTAATTCATACTCATTATTTAAAGCTCTTTTATCTAAAAACTTTGTCTAAAACAAAATCCATCTATGAATAAAACAAGCAACATTTAGATTGAAAAAAGAATGAATATGCTACGTAAACACCTAGGTGGCCATGATAGGGCTGCAAATGTCAGTGATATGATTCTCAGTGTTTTAAATGACATATATTGGATATAAAATATCTGTTCTTTATTGGCATTGACTATCACAATGAATTATTGACTCTATTACCTACTGACCCTATTATATAATATAACTAGCTTCTGCCCACGTCTTCGTACGCGCAATCCCGTTTCTCCCGTACCCGTAAGATTTCCAGGACATTTTTTCTGTCATAAAATCCTTCTCCTGACAATATACACAACAAAAAAAAAAAAATCTGCCAAATCGGTCTAGCCGTTCTCAAGTTATCGCGTGACAACGGGAAACGAGTTTCATTTTTATATATATGTATAAATAAAATATTGTCAATTGTGAACTTGGGTATGAAATATTAAAAATTAGAACTAGTATACTTATGATAAAATATAGATAAATAGGTTTATAATAGTTACTATAGAAGTGTAGAAAATATTAAGGTACTTAATGAAACATCAGGAAGTAACCTTAATTTTCCGCATGTATGACTTGCATCGTATATATCACAATGCTAACCAAAGAAAGAGGAAATAGAATTACTTCAGTGACTTTCCCAATCCCCATGTTAGTCATTTAATTGATCAATAATAAGGAAAATACATATACGTAACTATTTAGGCATTACAAATTTTCATAAAATATCCCTAGAAAAATGGTTTTTGAAAGAAAAAAGTTTTTTTTTATAAACTACTTTAAAAAGACCGATTTCAGCCCCTTATTTTTTGAAACCGGTTAAATAATATATACTAAAACCTTCTCCTAAGTGTAACAAACACTTTTCTGAAAACCGCATGAAAATCGGTTCGGCCGATCCCGAGATAATTGCGCACAAATATACATACATACAGCTTAAAATAAGAACCTCATTTTTGAAGCCGTTTAAAGATGTCGCTATCAATAAAGAACAGACACTTTAAAATCAATGGTATGGTGGATATACGCTCTAACACCGATGTCTCACCTCTTTCCTGATCGGCCACAGACTCTAAAAAAGCATGAAAAAAGTTAGACTCTATAAGAGATAAGTTTACATAAAGAGATTTTGAAGAGAATTGTGATTTCAGAGTCTACTACAACTTTAAGGATATTGGAATTTATATCTTTTGAAAAAGAAAATTGAACTTACTTTTCTTTGGCTTCTTTTAGTAAAGCTTTTATGCAGGCTTGCTGGAAACCTTTCCAGTCTTGGTTGAAGTCCGCACCCAATTCTTCTAAAGCGACCTGGAATTACAGAATGGATTAGTTTTCTAATAGTTCACGCAGTTATTCCATGACAAATATTATTATTGAGGAAGTGAATGACATCAGGTCATTCATAATATTGACTAATTGTAGGAAATAGGTAAAGAGTATTATACAATGAATGAAGTATTATATATGGGAAATTTTATTCTACATTATAATATCTACATCCTTTGTGAAACCCAAGTCTTTTATTTCTTACACTTTATTGTATGGTGTGACGAGGTGACATCATGAAATGAATATGACAATATTGTATTATTCTCACCACAACAGAATAAAATGGAAAAACATGCGATAATACTTAATTACTAATCGTCATACGATGTCACATTACATACTATGAGGGTTCCGTATTTTTCTTTACCGGGTGGCGCTAGTGTTCTACCGCGTAGCCAGTGTAACACTATTGGAAGTTTAGTATTTAAAAGCGGTAGTGATTGGAAAAAACTTTTGCGCAATTTGGTTCCTAAAAATACGGTAACTTTAGGATTCTCACCACTTTCCACCAATTGTGTTGTATAATTTTACTTCAACCCGAAGGCAAAACTTGTTAGTTACTCTTTTTAGCAATATTATTTGACATCTTAAGGTCTTTGAACTCCCGATACGAGCCGCGGAAGGCCTAACTGGTTGCCGGGGCACCGGCTCGAAGAGCAGGAGTAGGAACAGTGTGGTGTTTAGTCAGCGAGAGTCTGATACTCCCTCTAGCCTAAAGCGGGAGAGGTCATTGGATAATTGTCCCCCTCAAAAAAGAACTGTTTACCTTCCGAGTTTATACATACATACATAACTTCACGCTAGTCTCCCATGGGGTAGGCAGAGACTAGGGAACGCCAATTACTACGATTCCTACATACCTCTTTCGCTTCATCAACAGTCATCAATCTTTTCATGCATGCTCGTCGGTTAAGGGTACTTTTAATTTGGCCCTTCTTTAATATATCGCCAATCTGGTCACTACATATCTGAGGATTGCCTTCTAAGTTGATTTTATATTATAAGTAAAACGAGTAAAACTATTGTAATAGTAACTCACAGGAACACTCTCTTCGAAGTAATTGAACTTGCACCTGGCCAGCATATCAGCTGGTGCTAAGAACAGCTGCTGGTGTTTCTGGATAAGGAGTAGGAGACACGCATGTGCTGCTCGGCTCTCGCTGATCTGTCGCTGGTCTGCTACACTCTCGATAACCATTCTGGAAATAGAATTTAATGTTTTATAATGGACTTTTTGGGAAAAAATCGTATTTATTAGCTGAGGTGGAAGCCCTTACACGCTGACAGAGCCTCCGCTTAATTATTTTTATTATATCTTGTTATTTATATACCTAATTAATTTCTGTTATTATTGTATTGCAGGTACATATTTTGTTATACTTTGTTGTTTATTGTTCTTTATTTACTTTTTTAAGTTTTTTATTATTATTTTGTATTATCTAAGTATTTTGTAATTCTATTTTCAATTTTTATAATCTTCGTTTTTGTGTGTGCCTACTTGCCAAATAAATGCTTTTTCTTGCTTTCTTATCTGTATCTAAGGAAAGAGTGAAAGAAAGAAAAGCCATTTATTATGCCATATACATAATTATACACCTACGGTTACGCTGTTTGGACCTCAGCATGATATAAATAATAAAAAAAAAATGAAAACAAAACAAAACTAGGACCATAGCCCAATAAGGACCATGATTATGATTTTGGTCCTTTAAAAAAATAGTGGGATGAACATTAAACTTGACAAACCTATTGGAATTTCCTTCTTTAGTGCTACCAGTTTGTGGTGGCGCATGATGCAGCCTCAGCAACGTAGGGGCTAAGCAGACAGCTAGGTTTGATGCTGTCATTTGATTTACTGCTGAATGTTCTGCCACCTGCAAAAATAATTATAAATGATAACTTTTTAAGGACTTTAATATAGGTAAGGAGCTGATTATATTAGCATAGCTACTATTAGAACATCTGTTAGTACTGAATATTGTTTTATAACATATTTTTAAATGTGGGAGAGCCATGCTTCGGCATGAATGGGCCGGCTCGACCGGAGGGATACTACGGCTTCACAGAAAACCGTCGTGAAATAACGCTTGCATTGTGTTTCGTCGTTTGAGTGAGGTTACCGGAGGCCCAATTACCTCCCTCCGTAGTTTCCCGTAGAATCCCCGAATCCTCCACAATCCTCAAATTCCCAATTCCCAAAGGCCAGTAACGCACTTGTAACGCCTTGGTCTTTCAGGTGTCCATGGGCGACGCCGATTGCTCACCATCAGGTGATCCGTCTGCTCGTTTACCATGAAAAAATATTAGTGTAAAGGTTGATATTTTACCTCTGCTAAGAATATCAACAATGAATGCAAAGCTTCTAAATGTTCTTCTGGTAGCAGAAGTAATGCACATTGCACCGCATCCGGCCTCAAGGGTTCAGGAACATCTGTAGTATGAAAAAAAATTTTTTTTTTAAACCTTCTCAAATATAATATTTACTTTAACACGTTAACCGCCGCGTAGGTTACCGGTGACCTACGTTAGCGGAGGATTTGCCTTCAACAGTTTTCTATCGGCAGTCAAAGACTTAATAATGAGAAAACGGGTTGTACAACAAACACAATTAGAAACATCAGCAAAATCAAATACCCTAGGGTACCTACACGTTGACATAGGTAATGATAACATCCAATTAAAATTGCTCAAGACTGATTTATAATATACAACCAAATAAATTCCTTAATTACGTATTTCCAGGAAATAATAAATTGCAAAACTAATCGGTATAATGACAATTTTTTTCCAAAGAGCGTCATACCATAGCATCATTATAGAAACATTATCGTGTATTGACACTGTAATTTGTTAAACGACTTAGGTACATTATTTATCAGAAAAATATTTATCTATTGATATTCAATGGATGGTCAAGTGGTCGTGAGCATGACTTTTTTTAGGAACAAGCCCGCCACAACCTCCCAAGACCGCTACAACTTCTGTAAGTCAGGATCTACAGTAGATACAACCATGAAAACACCGGAACACTAAAGTTGGCCCGTCCCAGGGATATGATTAACTGTCTTGGATGAATCAAAAATATATAGCAAAAGTATTAATGATGAACTAAAAATCGCGGGTTACTCACGTGAACCACATAGGGGTTCTTGCAGCGTGCGCAGTCGCGGCGATGATGCGAGTAAGCTGCGCGACATCGCCGCGACCGCGCACGCTGCTCATGAGGAAGAACCCCTGTGTGGTTCGAAACTAGTAGATCTTTTCTCAGTATATTCACGCGATTTTTAGTTAATTTAGTATGTCTCACGATAGTTATTATAAAAAGTATTAATGATATCACTTATATTGAACAAAAACTTACGTTGAAATATAGCAATGAACGTCTCGCTCAGTTTATTCGTGAGTAAGGCATCAGGGAGCTCCCTGAAGTACTGTTTCACCATGTCAGCAACATCGTGAGCTTGTGCCCCATCAAAATTCAGACTAGATTGGTTTGGGTCTATCGTATTTAGGTTTTCTATAGCAAAGCTCGCGTTTGAAGCCCCAGCCGCTTCTACCGTCGTCCGCAGTTTTGCAATTCTTGATTTCACTCCTGCTTTTCGGAATATACCCATCTGGAAATTGTAAGAAGGTTGATTAGTTTATTTAGTTACCTAATTGTAGTTGAAAACAGTTGACTAATGACTACATCTGACTGTGTGTCTGTACAACTGGGCAAATATCTTTAACGGCAAACGGATTTGGTCCACCCAGTTGCCTATTTCACATGAATTACATTTTTGACAGCCATAACGCACCTTTAAAGTAAAACGGCTATTAAACGAAAGTTCTCATTAACTCGTCGAGTACCGTATTTATAGACACAATTAAAGAACAATAGGTTGCGGTCACCGGTGACCGCTTGGTGTTTGACAGTTTAATTGAGTATTTACATAAATTGACTATTAAAAAAGCCTAAAATAATTTGATGGCATTATCTCAATTCATTAAAATTTTCGTTTCATAACGGTTTTACTTTAAAGATGCGATAATTTTTGTTTATAGGAAAATCTTAAAAATGAAAAGGACTAACCTGATCCAAAGCGTTATTTTTAAGCCAGTTCAAAGCACACTGTATCGGCTTAGGTAACGCGTGTCCTGTCCTCTGCAGTGACACAGTTAGGGGAACACCGAAAACTGTTTTATCTGCAAAGAAAAAACAAATAGTTTTAGCTTCAGTTTAATAAAAGTAGATCTCGTTTAGGTGCAATAAAGTCGGTAAATTATGTATCCCGGGTCCCGTGGGATAACAACTGCCAATTATACATAGCCTATATGTTATGCCAGACCAGGTAGATTATCTAGCCTTCTTCCAAATTTTATTCCGATCCTTTTAGCCGTTTTGGCGTGAAGGAGCGACAAACAAACAAACAAACAAACATACCTACATAAAAATTTTCGCATTTATAATATTAGTAGGACTAATGAAGTACTGATAGCTAATCTTATTAATACGATACAATAGACACTTCAACAATGTCATCATAATCCTATAAATGCCCACTGCTGAGCAAAACCTCTTCTCACACAGAGAAGGTTTGAGCATTAATCATCACACTTGTTCAATGTGGGTTGGCGATTTCAAACTTATAATTAGAAATTATAGGCTCAGGTTTCCTCACGATGTTTTCTTTCACGGGTTTGTCAGTGGTGTCTAGATAATCTTAGAAAGTATATTTAACTCGAAAAAAAAGTCATATTATGCCATTGGTAGATTTCGAACTCGGACTGTCACGCATGAGAAGTGGGCGTCTAAACCTCCGGGCTACCATGACAAAAATGTACAAACATCATTATCAAACTACCTATAACTACATAATATAAAGAGAAATACTCTCCAAAAGTACATATATCTCTTAACCAACTTCGTCTAACAAAGAACATATAAATGTAATTGACTTTTCCACCAATGAAAGAGATTACTACAATTCACCCAAAATGCCCCATTCACCCAGAAATATCATTCTACAAATGGACAAACTTTGATATTTGACATTTCAGGGATGAATAAACTTAATACATTTCTATTCATATTACGAGTTACGACGAATGTAAAAACCTTCTTGCTCTATTTAAATAAAAATGTAGCTTGTAATGTGAAGTTAGAGTCCAATTTTGAATGGAAAAGATCTTTGAGTAAGGATAATAAAGGTCTTTCATGATTTAGGGGTTTTAAATGTCAAATTGTAACATATTGGTTTTATTTGCTTTCCGATAACTTTTGTTGGAAATGTTGTTTTTCCTTAAGGCAAATAAATGTGCTAGGATTACGGGAAATATGATTTGTTAGAGTTTAAAAACGTTGGTCCTTTTCCATTTTGGACTTTTGGTACGTTTACTTATTATGTTTTGTTGTGCTTCGGAATTTTTATTGTTTCTTTACTGCTTTTATAAATAGTATTTTCATTACCTAGGTGCAATTTGTAAAAGTATTTAAAATAGATATCTAATCCGTCATTTCTCCGGCTTTCTTCTATTATCATTTAAATAATATCTTTCTTCAACTGCCTAAATCAATATGCCTATAGAATAAAGGATAGAAAACAATAAAAATAAAACTCACCCTTATAATCAGGAGTTTTGATCTTCCTAATAAGTTTGGGCAGTTCCCAATTCCAGCCAGATTTGTGTGAGGGGCAGTAGCGTTCCATGCAGGCTGTCAGACGAAGCAGAGCCAGCTTCCTCAGGATATGGAGCTGACCGCATGAGAGTGAGGACATCGGTCGAGATACTGAGAAGGAGTTATAAAATTACTTACAAAAGTTTTTCTATGTCAAAGTCAAAGTCAAAATCATTTATTTCAATTAGACCAGGAAGGCACTTTTGTACGTCAAAACAAAATATTTAAATATTAAATAATAAGAAAAATATTTAAATATTAAATAATATGTTTTTTATTAGTGACTAATAAACTGACGCAATACTTCTTCCTAGTCAAAAATTTTATCATAAATGAGAAATAGATAATTTAGTAGATGTGTGTGCAAGTTAGATAAATTAGTGACAATAATTATGACATTAATAAAGTTGACATTTGATAAGTTAATGATACAATGCGGCATCGACCATTATATATAATTTAGGCTAAGAAGGTGAATGACATCATTGGAAGATGGAGGAGTGGCGAAGGTGGAGAAGGATGGTATTGGAGAAGGTTATACTTACGATACGAATCCGGGTCCTTCTGGTTGGGAGTTGGTGTCAACGTATTGTTAGCTTTAGGTCCTCCATTGAGTGCATTCGTCCTGAATGAATACCATCGCTGAATGTTGTTTCTGAAAGAAAAATTAAACAAAAATTGTATTTTTTTTAAACAACTGCAATGTGAAGTGCTAGATGTGTAATACTGCGAGAGACTAAGTTGTAGCAATTAATTGCTATTTGTTTTACAAAATCAAATGTTAGTCAACAGGGGTTAAGCAGGCACAACTCCAGACTCCGACCGCAATAATCTTAGTAATAATTTGCCTGATTCGTTAATCGAATCCAATACCTCTTGATTGCTTAACTTAATGAGATTGTAGTAGTGTTGTAAGAAATCAAAGTTAAGGAGACTTACTTCTTGCTCTTTATATCCAGACTGTCATCGTCATCGTCCTGATCTCCATCATGAGACCTGGACCCTGCTGAGTTGGGGCTGCTGTCCAGTTCAGAACTTCTGGATGCCGACTTATCCCTCTTCAGACTTCTATCACGAAACCTAGAGAAGAAAGATTATTTAGATGGATAATGAACAAACAGTAGATTAAAATGTTAAAAGAAAGAACTGCTTTTAAGCGTTACATTAAGAAAAAAACATCCCTCAAAATGGTGGGCAAAGTAATTATTAATGATAGTACTATAGAGGTACATTATTTTGCTTTTACACACGCATATACATGTTCTTACACTATGAGTATTCCGAAACGGACATAGACCAATTTTATAATGAAAAACAATTGAGTGGTATTTTTTACCTCGGCTTTTTAATATACTTGTAACCAGTTAAAGTATACGTAAAGTAACAAACATCACAGAAATAAAAACAATCCATATTTTGAAACTAAAGATACAAAGATAGACACATAGAACCGGCCAAAAATCAATAAAACCATTATAATCATTAACAAATACTATCTTCACAAACACTGATACACAATTTGGTCCTTTAAGCACATATCAAGCAGTTTTGGTCCTGGTATCCGCACTCAATTGACAATCTTGGTCCTTTCATCCGCAAAAGAATATTTCAGCACCATTTTAACACTACTTTCTTCTACAAAATTTTGTATCTTACTGTGTCGTTTATGTCAATTAGCATGCCAATAATTTGTTTGACCATTGTCCATTACTTTAACAATCGTTTTAGACTAATTGCACTGGTTGGACTAATTAGTACTGACGCGGTAATGTCACTTTCAAATATGGCGGATAAGTGTCTGGGACAGTTTTTAGAATTTTTGTATTTTTTTTTACTGTTAGGTTTAGACTTGACTACATTAACAGTGAACTGAACTATGTAGAGACCTATCTCTACACCTATGTTCAGTAGAAAAATAAGGTTTTTTAGATTTGAAATCATTAACAATAACGTATCGAATATTTTATTGATACCTTTGTTAAATTTATGACAAACAACCTTGTCATTTCTCCTGTCCACCCTTTGAACATTTGTTAAAATGATTATTAAAACTTTTTTTTGAAAATATTAGGTAATTAATTTGTAGCTACCTACACTTTTCATTATCTGAACCGTGAAGACTGTTAAACACTTTAAGTAACGAATTAGTATCCCAGCCCAAACCAATCTAATATTATACTAAACCTACAAAGGCCTTTATTGAATTTTCCTATCAGTCCCCATGTAATTAAATACTCACTTCAAAGGAGAAAGTTGTTCGTAACATCTTTTGAACAAATTGTAGAACATTTGTTACTGAGTACCTATATTTTGACTAAATATGAATAAGACTTGAGCTAGTTTAATTGAAACTAGTTTCCCTATTAAACTGTCAAACACCAAGCGGTCACCGGTGACCGCGACCTATTGTTCTTTAATTGTGTCTATAAAACCGGTACTCGACGAGTTAAAATCGTTGGCCAAAATGAGACCTGACCTTTGATGTTTATTTATTTTTCCGTTATAATGAACAAAAGGACCAAAATCTAAATAACCGTAGCGTATTTAATGATGCTCTCCCAATATGAATATTGGTATTCACAAAATGACTGGTCCTGATCTCACGAATTGAATATCAAACTCAGAAGCGAGATGTCTTTGTCTAAAAGTGAACGCAAACTACTTATTGACCTTTCGGGTACAACCTGGATGTCTTCAATTAGTCTCGAGTTAATGACGTCATGGGTACAACTTGAGAGTCTTCAAATCCTAAATGAAAACGTTGCTTATAGAGCGGCGCGCTGCATACCACATTACTTTCCATCAGGCAATTTAGTGGTCTAATCTGTCAATAATATAAAAAAAATATAATGAACTCACTTTTTGCCATCGTTCCCTAAATTGAGCGAGCTGGTCCTTATAGCCTGCCGTCGGTGATGGGTGTGACCTGGTGACTTCTGGACTTCTCTGAGCACTTCAGGGTCTGGCTTCAGTTCCACTGGAGAAGGAGGCTCCACGTAAACCTAGAAGAAAATTAAATATTAATATTTTTCTACTGCATTCAATAACGCCTGCCGAAAATTTTATGCGGCAAGTTGAAAACACGTTGCTATAAACTTTTCAACAGGCGCTCAATTTGTTAAGAATATTAAATAACAAAACCTATTCAGTAACAATTTTTATGAAGTTGTAAGAAAAGTTTTATTTTGCTAAGTTATATACATTATCTACCGCTTCAGGCGGACATATATATAAGTGGACTCCTTTCTTGACATTACAATACACGAAGATATTGTTAGCCAACTTATATTGTTGTTTCATCAAGTTGCAAACTATTCATGGTAGTTAGGGCACACAAACTTGTACTAGAAGGAGTTACGGATAATCTTCAAGTCTAACAACAAAATATAATAAGAGAGAAGCTTATCATTTTAATACGTATATAATCGGGTTTAATTTTATGGATTCGTATCGGATTTCAGGATATTCAAGCTTTCATAGAAGCTAATATTAGTATGAAGTCTTTGAAGTTCATTATGAATAGTTCTATTTTTGTTTAGATTTTGGAAATTTAAGATTTAACGAGAACTTTATCACTGTCGCCTTTTATCGAAAATAACTTATGACAAAGATAATATGATATAAGTATGATAAGCGAGTTCTCAAACCAAATGTTTTTCAAATTAGATTAAAACTCATTTTACACTTACCTCAGTATTCTGATGAGTATTATGATCCTTATAATAGTTATGTCTCCAACTGGCTGGCTGGCACTCCGAATCACTAAGTGCACTGGAGTCATCATTCTTAATCCCTCTATGAAAGATCCTCTTCGCCCTTCCCAATTTAGACTTGGAACTCTTATTACTGGATCCCATACTGCCATCAGAGGCGTAACTGGAACTGTCATCACCAAAAGGAGCGTTCAGGACAAAGGATTGTTCTAAGGGAGCGATTGGTGATGGAGGCATGACTGTCATGGGAGATGGTGGTTGAGTTCTGATAGCTGGAGCGTGGACAGGAGAGCTATGGAAGTCAGGGAATGGAAAGGCAGTTGGAGTCGTAGGAGTCATATCTATGTAGCTCAGATCAGCATATTTATCCTGCTGCACGTCCAGAAAGTGCGGAGAAGATACGATGACTTCAGTCCGGTTCTGCCGTTTTCTTCTTCTAGTTTTGAGGGATTCCACTCTTCGGAGTAAAGCTTTGGCACCGTCTCTTAGCCTCTCGGAGCCAGTTCTTCGGAAACGAGTACCGGTTTCCTCTTCATCTTCTTTGTCACTTGGTAACTGTATCATTGTTTGGCCTGGTACTGTTAATCTGTAACAAAGAACAAAATATTAATTAGATATTGTTTTACTACATAAGTCACTCATAATTTCGACGAACGTCTTTACTTATCTAAGTCATTAGGATGAAACTTTATTTATAAGTACATAGTCTTACTTTTATTCACTGTAAATAATAATTTGGTATTGCGATTGATTTATGTCCAGAATTTCAATCAAGTAAAGGTTAAGAGATTTTATTTCTAATGGTTAAGATAAAAGTCAACATTGTATAAATGGTATTGGTGTCTATAATAAGAACTAAAGTATTCCATAGTTAAAACTAGACAATTAAATATCATAATCAATTGTCCCTATTCATTGTAGAAAATATACATGATATTCATAATTACGACATACAAAATTACACCTTATCAACACAAAACACATTATAAACTACGATAACACCTTACCCAAGTACATCAGGACTACAGAACACCATGAACCACTCGCTAACTCATCTCCATAAACCATCAGAAGGTCTATTATAGTCTCAAAGTTATCCCTAAAGTGTAAACTTTGAAGGTCGCTGACAAAGTGAGAAGTTCTATGAAACTCGTCAAACTTGGCTATAGAAAACACTTTATAGCGATTACAAGGGAAAATTTTGGCGTATATTAATTGGCGGTGTGGATCGGTTTCATATTTTTGTATACATTTCTTTTTTCAGCCATGATCGTCCCACTGCAGGGCAAAGGCCTCCCTACGCTCCTACCACTCCTCTCTATGTCAAGCTTTTTGCGGCCAATCCTTGTCATAGATGTCCAATTCATCTTCTTTCTCATTCGTTCTTCTCCATTCGAAACTACGCTTTGAACCGATTTTACTGCGGTTTTCAGATAAGTGTTTGTTACATTTTGGAGAAGGTTTTAGTATATCAATTAACCGACTTCAAAACAGAGAGGTGGAAGTCAGTTTTTTTTAAACGTGCGTTATAAAACAATTAATTATTCCCTATACTAATTCTAAATTTAGTGTTCAAAATCCCTGCACCTTATGACCTCGTTATCAATAATGTTGCAAAAACGACGATGATCAATGCTTTTCTGGCATCCGCACCAGAGTGTGATTTGTTCGCAGCGAGATGGAAGAATGTATGTCGTGAATGTATAAGATTTTGTGAGAAGATGGACGGCTGATGAATTAGTTTTAAGTAATTATAATTATTGTACTTTTTATATGAGATACCTATTGCATAAGTGTAAAATAGTAAATAAGTAAAATTTTTTTTTTAATCTTTATTGTATAATGTTTTGGTTTGTGCTGTAAAATTATACATGTGCTTATAAATAAATAAATAAATAAAACCCTCCTACGTTAAAATAGCATTGGAACAAAAACCCTGAACTCAAATGAGACCCAATTTTCACTTAAATGCAATACAATTTAATATTATTCCAAAATGTTTTCAGCCGACTGAAAGTTACATGGCCTTACGAACTATGTAATGGCTCCAATAAAAGTTTATGTAAAATTAGACCCTATTACAAAGTCAAAATGAAATTTACAACTTTTCTAATTTGATTCAATTTGTTGAAATTCATTTTCAAATGTGAATATAATATTACGTTTGAATTCCACGAAGAGGTATGCAGTGACATATTTTTTTAATATTTTTTATGTGACATGTGATTGAAATTAAATATAATAATAGAGCTGGGATTCTGGGATCATATTATATATTTTTTTTATTCGAATTCCCATTCTTTGTGGTTTAAGGAACAAGCGAGATCTCATGTCAATTAATTGTAGTTAAGTAAATAACAAAGAAATCGCATTAAAATTAATTTTGTCAAAAATAAGATTATCGTGAACAATAGGATTACGGCTGCCTCATTAGCCGAATGGTCGTAAGACTGCCGGGCAAGGGGTCTCGGGTTCGATTCCCGGGTCGTCAAAGTAAGTTTCACGGAGTCTGGAAATGTGTCCGGTATATGTCAATAAGTTCACCCGCTATTACATGTGTCTCATAACATAAACAGTGAAAAGTGGGTGTTACATTGTACAGTGGCATTAAGTGCCGTGATGTTATGTTATGTAATTAGGATTATATTACCTATTAATAATTATATATTATAATAGTTTTATAGATACGTTACAAATTATTATAGTCTATTATGTTCATAGTTTTAAGGATTTAAAAATGTTTGCATGCCAGATGGTAGAATGTACCAGGAACGGTATATCTTTCTAAGACCATATATACATAATTATGTACATTAGCTATTTTTTTTTATTTTTTTTTTAAGGGGGGAAAATCATCGAATGACTGCTCCCGCCTGGGTGAGGCGGAAGGGAGTGTCAGACTCTTACTGACTAAAAACCACCCCGTTCCTTCTCCTGCACGTCGAGCCGGAGCCCCGGTTACCCGTTAGGTTCTCCGCGACTCCGAATCGGCATCGGCCCTATTGGGCCCCATCTGTGGTGGTCTGATGGCTCTTTGAGGCGCGCGCGGAACGCGACGCGCCGTACGCTCGGGTCTGTTTCTGGTCGGACGGGGAGCCACCCATGCTCGCCGTCCGCAGGCCCGCGCTTACGGTGGCCGGAGATCGTCCCGCGATCATGTACATTAGCTATATACATTCAAAGCAAATAAATGATTTTATTCTATTCCAAATTTATTATTGATATGAGTAGCTTTTCAGTTACCTTTTTTTGGTTAAGGGAGGGGGATAGGTTGAAAGCCAGATGTTATTTGTGATAGTTACAAAAACCACGTCTAAAAGCTAGTTTCAGAACAAAATAGTTTTCCAAAGATGTATTCCAGCTGCCCTTTGAGTCTTTGTAATTAACTTCGGTTGCAGGATAATGACCTAGCATTAATTAGACAGAGCAATTACGACTTAAGTACTTTGAAGTTATAACCCTTTTTTGTTTACTTATTCTCGTACGTTTTGTGATCGAGACAGGTAAATACAGGTACAGTATTACATTAACAATTAGAGACAGTCGTCATTTGACGCATGCATATATCCTACAAATAACGATTGTAAATGACGCAACGTTGTCGCTTGGTATACACAATTTTGGTTGTTTCTACACAAGATCCAAGCATACGTCTTGGGATCGTCATGTAATCGTCAATTAACGTAAGCGTGCGTATGACGGGCGGTTACGTGGACACTGGGCGTGGACGTTCTCTCCTAGGGTATGGGACGATGTGCTCCATCGTAGACGGCAGCATCGCGTATCACCAGGTGAGATAGTGGTCAAATGTCGGCCTAACAAATATATATATCTTTATATATATAATTCTTCTGTGAGTGTGTATGTCACTGAACTTCTCTGAAACGACTGGACCGATTTTGATGAAATTTTTTGTGTGTGTTCAAGGGGATCTGGGAATGGTTTAGATTCACAAATCAGCCTGGCAGATGGCGCTGCCGTCGATGTTTAGGTTATTTATCCTAAACAGCTGAACTAATTTGAATGAATTTTTGTTTATACATTCAAGTGGATATGCAGGACAACGTCTGTTGGGTCCGCTAGTACCTATATAAAGAAATACATGTCTATGTAAAGATTAGGTAAGTTAATAAAATAATTTCCTTTTCAAAGAAGGATCATTTCTATTCAACATTAACTTTGAAGAACTTCTTAAATACTTCTTCGTCACTTCAAAGAAATCAAAGTTTTTGTCCAAGTCTTGTGATGTGAGTGATGGCTTAATCACTTCTTGAAGACTAGCAAACTTTTTCATATTAAGTACTTATACAAATCCTACAAAATTTCGCCTAAGTTGTATGTATTTGAACAAAAAGAGAAGTTCAAAGTTGACTTTAGCTTTTATGATCCAAATTCTTAACTTGACTTAGGGCCGATTTTTCTAACGCTATATAAATTGTAACTGAGGAATAATTTTGAATATTTGACAATTGTTCTGTACTAAAAGCTGTCAAATGTTATTGTTATTCTACAGTTAAGAATTAACTGATGATTGAAAAATCGTCCCTTAGTACTTAACATTAGAATTAGTTTTCAAATAAAAAAGGAGTAGATAAAACGAATTAAAGTGAAGTAGGTATTGTGGTCTGGTTATGTCCCTTGCACATTATATACAGTTTGTAACCCCATATGTGACATGATGAGAAATCGAACATTTTAAATCAGGGTATATCTTCGACAGTTATTCATATTAATATTAAGAGAGTGGCCAAACGGCCAAATGTTAGTTCATGGTATTTTTTTTATTGACCCATCAATAAAAAAAATACCATGAACAAACATTACATTTCTTGAACAATGACAACATATAAATATATTATTATGTAAAACGAGTCTGTACATAGTTATGTACACACTCGTTTTACAAAGTTACGAGGCTTACCCCCTATTACATGGGACTCAAACATAAATAGTGAAAAGTGGGTGTTACATTGAACAGTGGCATAATGTGCACCTCTGCCTACCCCTTTGGGGATAAAAGGCGTGATGTTATGTTATGTCGTTTTACAAAGTGAAGTTGTGAGGTTTCACAACCACAAAATCTACAGCCACCCATGATAAATTAGCAAAAGAGAAAAGATAAATGTTGAATATCATAAGATAAATGAAAATTAGATTCAGACTAATAGGGATTTGTGGCGAGTAATTTGCTGCGAATGGCCGGAGTTGGGAGAGTGCCTATGTACGTGGGCGTTGTAAAAGGTTATTAAGGGAATTATGGAAGGTGGGTGATTATTGATTACATTTGGTTGCGGAACTTATAGCGTTGGTTTCATTGCGGTATAAAGATAATTTGATATGAACTGGGTTTTAAGAGCAGAAATTAGTAGTTAGACTGTGTAATTTTAAGGTATTGCGGTATGTATAGGTTAAAGGATTAAAGGTCTGTTGATGGTGAAGTAATCGCATCTAAATAAGAGGATGGATTGTATCTGGCATTCGTTATTTGAGTTGTACAAACAATATTTACTTTACTAGATTTAGAAATATGTAATAAATATGTGGCATTTGGGATAAGTGTGGGAGAGCCAATGCTTCGGCACGAAT